CCCCCAATGTCCTTCCTGATGACATAGACGACACACTGTTCTTCCAAGGCGTTTTCCTTTTCCTTTCTTTCCTTTGCCTTTGCTCTTTCCTTTTCCTTTCTTGCCTTTGCCAAATCCTTTCCTTCCTTTTCCTTGTCCTCGTCCTTTTCCTCTTCCTTTACCTTTTCCTCTACCTCTTCCAAACCTGAATCCTCTTCATGCTTGCATAGCACCGAAAGCTCCAAACGTTTTGCCGAATCCTTTCTTTCCTTTACGTCTTCCTTTGGTTTTGCCTTTCCCTCCTTTGCCTTTGTCTTCGACGCGATTCACTTCCATTGCTTGTTGTCCTCCGAATGTTGGAGGAGTGGAGGCAAACTTCCTTTGATCGTGTACGGATTTCCATACCTGTCAGTCTTCTCCATCTTTCCCCTTCCAATGGGGTAGCAGTGCCAGTCATCCACCGCCTTACTTTTTCCTTTGACTTCTGCGCTTTTCCAGACCAGCCTGATACCGAAGTTCTTTTCAAGACTTTCATTGATGGTACAGAACTCTCGGGTTGACCGCAGTTGCCATCCAAACTTCTTCGTGACGAATACTTCTCCATCGGCATTCGTTGAGAACCCACGGTACGCCAAATTCAGCAGTTCCTTTCGCACCTTCTCCTGCCATTCAGGTGAGAACGGGTAGTAGGTACAGTCCAAGAACTTTTCATCTGACGCGATCTTCTTCTCAACTCTCCAGGTGTCCCCAGAGGTATGCTCTCTCCATTCCTTTCCTGGATCTTCTTCCGCTGGCTGTTCGCGAAGTCGAGCAGGTCCGTACTTCTTCTTCTCAGACTTACTAAGCTCTTCCTCCTTCTGAGCTTGTTCCTTCCTCCTGTTCCTTCTGGGGCCCGACGGACTCAAGGCTGAACATCTGCAAAGAAATTTTCTTGAGCAAGACGAAATGTTCCAGCCTGGCAACTAATCGGTCAGGATCAAAGTAGTGCCGTTTCCGGCACGATAGCTTGTCCGTTGAACCGTACAGGGTTCGGCAACAGGTAGCCGATCAGGGCTCAATGTCAATTCAGTGGAACCGTACAGGGTTCGAACGGATCAGGGTTCAACGCAGTAGGCACTCCTACCGCAGACGGCACGTTGAACGAATAACCGTCTATACACACACTCGTGCAATCCTCGCTGTGATTGGACTTGATATTTGAACTAGAATCTCTCTCCAGAGGTGCACAGCAAAGATCAGGTGTACGATGTCACAAGCAAGTATGATTGTGCAGGTACGTGAGCCAGGCGTCCCCAGCTCATATCAGCCATCTGCAAAAGCTTCTTCGTTGGACTGCCACTGTTACAGATCAGGCAGTCCCCTGCAAATGAAACCATCTGTGCAAACATCGGCCTAGCTCTTGGTGACAGAGTTCCACACACACGAACACACGAACAAAACACAAACACACAACCACACCCACACCCACACCCACACCCACACCCACACTCACACCTACACCAACTCGCACACGCACACGAAACACGAACACGCACGCACAAATTGCAGGAAGCGTTGTCCAGCATTGCCAGGGACGACTCCCCCGGCGAACAACGTGGCCAGCACAAAGTCGCGGAGTACTCCGACACTTCCTGGCGCCCGATCGTCTATCGCAGAGAACTGCGCTCCAGGCTATTCAGTCTCTCAAGCGCCATGGAAAATGATACCAGTAGGCGAGATGGGACATCACTAAACCCGGCAGCCCCATCACTTGTGCCCACCTCCTTCGGCACGTGCGCCAGGTGTTTGGGGTGGGGTTGGCGGAGTTAAGGCAGTGAATCACAACCATAGCCACCTAGGCCCATGTGTTGGTGGGGGGGAGAGTGGGGGGTGGAGGGCGGTGACAATTATGTGCTTTCAGGCGGTGAATCACAACCATTTGTGTTGGTGGGGTGAGGTTGGGGCAGAGGGTGCGGGGTTGGTGGGGGCGTGTGATGAGGCTGCAATGTGTTCTCAGTGGAGAGGGAGATAACAGTTGCACCGGAACCTCATTGTGCCTGCCAATCAGTAATATCTCCCGCCATCGCATTCACCTTGTACCTGAATCCTTGTGCGAACGGAAACCCTGAGAACACACCGAAGCGAAGCTCAGGACTAGGTAAGGTACCAGGACGTCGCCGGGCGTGTCATGCTTGCACAGGGGCTGAACGAGAGAGCTTCAAACATGCAGTTCATGCCAGCAACGTGGAATCGCTACCGGGTCTGCTGAGGCCCATGTGCTGGGGGGAGGCTGGGTAGGGGTTCATTAGTAGTAAAATCCTCATTCTTTTGATCAATCTTCTGTAGGTGAGATTCTATGGTCAATTGAAACTAGGAGGTAAACTACCGAAATTTGAAGATTCTGAGAATCTATCATGTGAAATTAGTTGTATCCTAGAAACACGAAGATGTACCTATAAGATATAACAGATTCCACAACTATAACATTATGATGAAATCTTGGTATAATTGTCCAACTAAACCAAATCTTGTGTTGTATCCGTATGACGTAATCTTACATTGTAAAGTTATAGGTAATTGGCAGCCTTGGCAGCCCATACTGTGGCCCTGCTATGATGTGAAGCACATACGCGGGCACAAGGTCTGTATTGTGTCCACCTAAAATCACCTTCGGATCAGCCCATCTGCTTTGTGGAGAAGCATCTGCGTGGTGGAAAGATGCGCCCTCCGCAAAAGGTTTCCCAAAGCTGGATATCCACTGACGTGTTTCATGAACCTCAGAAGGTACAGCCGCCGACACAGAGGGTGAGGTGACGCATTACAGGAGTTGGTGCTTCTGATGCGAGTTTTCGTGCAAACCTGTGCACAAGCGCACTGCTGCATTGTGAACGCTCAAGACAAGAGAGGCCGGATGCCTCGAGGAAGAGCGCCCCTGTCGGCCGCGGCGGTGCGACTGATACCAAGATGCTGCTGCTGCTGGACCAGCCTCACAACAATTCCCGTCCCAGCCGTAGCAACAACCGAGGAGAGGGCGCTCGGCTCGACCAAAGGATGGCGTTGCTGTGGCGCATCTGAACCTGCCGCCATCTCGCCATCACAAGAGAGAGAAGTCAGATTCTGGGCGTGTACGAAAGCTGCGCTGCGCCGCTGCGCCTCGAGACGGGCGCCAGGTTTCAGGAGCGGATCGCGGAAGATCCAGTCGTAGCCCTGGACCCACGGCACGTCTCATGGCACGCTCCCATTTTTGCCAATTCCGTGCGCTGCCCGGCGCCTGCGTTTGCTCTTCCTTGGAGCCGTTCTGGTGCCTGTGCCTGTGCAGATCGCGAGAGGTTGAATTCGGCTTTCTGTGCTGGCAAGGGCAAGGGTGTGAAGAAAACGTGGCTTGGGCACGGTCGGGGCATTAGCTGCGGCTGCAGCACCTGAGCACTGCTCCGCTTCCCTTGCCGTCTCAAAGAGCATGGCTCATGCGGCCTCCCAGGTGCTCTGGTCGGCCCGCAGCCGGACCTCAGAAAGAGAAGCGAAAGCTGGCAGGGTTTTTCCGACTCGGGCCGACCCTCGCATGCTCATGCTCGCACCTGGAATCGCGTTGCCTGGATCCCGTTTCCGCGGGAGAAATCGTGCTGAACGGCATAGGCCACCTCTCGCAAAACGCACAGCCGGGGCCACAAAGCCATGCTTGAGAAAGCGGGCTGGGCAAATCTAAGGCCAAGGCGGGGCCCAGGTCCTCGTCCACGGGCCCACGGATCTGCAAGGGCTGCTCCTGCGCTCCAAAAACAAGCGAGTTCAGCCGCACCCGGAGGACGCGTGGCGGGGGGGGCCCCGACCCAGCTGAGACGCAAGGAGAGGCCCTGCGTCTCGGGCCGGAGCTGCCTGAGCAAACCCCGCCCCCGCCCGAACTTTCGCAAGAAAAATAGACGCTTTTTTTTATGGGGCCCCAGCAGCTCCAATCCTTGTGGCCTCAGAGGCGCCGCGCATCTCCGATCTCCGCCCCCCTACCCCCCCCTGGTTTCCCTCGCGCTCTCGCGCTCTCGCGCGCGCGCGCCTGTTTGGGGGTTTGGGAGAGAACCATGCCGAGGGTGGCGAGGCGGCACGGCCCCGGCCTGCACTGAGTCATCCAGACCATAAACTTATGCCACTCCATCCTGGCCTTGGGTCATGAGAACTCGGAGCTGGACGGCGGTGCACTCGCAATTCAACCGCAAAAGCCGGAGCCTCCAGCGGCAAGCGGCGCGTTTGGACCCCCCCGAAACATCAGCCCACTACCCTCACTACCCCTTTCCGGGCGGCTGACTGGAGTCGCTCAGGCTCCCCGCCCGCCTGCAACCTCTCATAGTGTCATAGCACGGACTAATACGATTTCAGCTGCCACAACACCCTGCCCTGCAGGCCTGAGGCGTGCCTCCACAGAAGCATTTGCCGGGACCGTGTTCCACATGGAGACCTTCGATTCTACTCCGACGTCGACTCTTTGTCACCGATCTCAGAGGGCCGCCTGAAATCGGTTCAACGCAGCCGCCGTCGCAGCACCTGCACAATCGCACAGACCACTGACCTGAGGTCTGGCGAAAGAGCCAACTCTGAAGGCCGGGCGGTACTGCAGGACCAGCTGACTGGAGAGCTCCTTTCGCGACTTTTGCTCCAGTCATAACGTGTCGCAGGAAAAGAGCGGCCTTTGGATAGGGCCAGCGCAGCAGCAGGGGCGGCGAAGGTGCCTGGGGCGCCTCCAGGCTCCATTGAAACCACCCTCAAACTGTCGCGACGTCGCGTCGGGTCCGCACGGTCCGCACCTCCCCAGGCCCGGCGACCTCCACCGGCGAGGCCGAGTCCAGGGCCAAGGGCTGGGGAGCCTCCGAACAGCGCAAGCAAAGCGCAACGCAAGCCGCTTCGGGTCCGTGCCGAGAGTTTTTCGTTGCAGTCCCGGGTGCGGGCAAGGTGATGTCCGCTGTCGGAGAGCAGAAGCTCTCGCTGCGGAGGGCCCGAGAGAAGTCCTCAAGAACTGACCCCGCGGCCCGAAATACACGTGCCCCGAGCGCCCCCATCGGCACCGGACGCGGGGCCCGACGTGTGGGTAGCGTGCTTCCACGGCGAAGCTGTAGCTGACCTGAGCAGAGCGGAGTTAGACCTTGAAACGACGGGAAAGGCTGCGGTCTATGGCCCCGTCGTTCGGCTGCAGGTAGCTGACCTCAGACGCAGCGGTGCGCTCGGTGCTCTCGCAAAGCTCTTCGTTCAGGGGGCCGCCGTGGTCATCTCCCACTGCTTTTTGCCATCAGAGACGAAGCACGCAACCACCTGCAGAGCGCAGAGAGGCCTCGAGTACTCTTAAGCGGGCTCTTCTCTCGCCTGCTCACCAAGCTCCTCGGCAAGAAAAGCAGCTCTTGCCGCCGTGAGCCGTTGCCGTCAGGCGGCCATCACTGAGCTGCAAGCCGGCTCCAAGTCTTCGTTCCCCCGGCCGTTTGGGCTCCCAGCGGCCTGCGGCGAGGCCTCTGCGCGCCGCGCTGCGTGCGGCAAACAGCAGCTCATGCGGCGGCTCATGCGGCGCGACGTACGCAAGCACTTTCCGGGCCTGTGCCACCACACGGTATTCCACCAAGAGGAGCTCCCCACAGGTGCGGAAAGGCACCCATTCCAGCCTCCAGACCAGAGACTCCAAATCTCATCGGCCGCTTGCAAGCCGACCTATACCGAGACTCAGGGCTGCACAAAACCGCGCTCTCGCTGAGGGGCGTGAGGCGGAGGCCCTGCACAAGAACGAGCTGTTGGACGGCTTGGACTGTCACTGTCGCCTGCCGCCACCTGCCTCGCGCTCCGGATAAGGAGGCACAAGGCACGTGGAGACGCGCATGGACCTCATGGAATCCGAGACGTGACGGGGGACGCGACGGAGATTATGTGACTGAGCTGACCGACGGCTCCGACCAGTCCAAGGCCATCTGCTGGTTCCTCACAACAGGGCCGGAAGGAGCAGCAAGGAAGTCCACAACGTTTGTGGCCTGCAGCGGACGCTGAAGGCGTAGTCCGGGCCGGCGTGGAGAATGGGCACCTCTGCAACACGGCGTCAAATCCGGGCATTCCATTTGCTTTTAATTTTCTGTGGACCTCGAATTCGAAGGTGAGCTCCGGGGCCTCCTCGCCATCCTGCACAGAAGCGCACCACCGGCAGGCGCGCCCGCAACCCTGAGTCTCCTCCAGCGGCTCGAGGTAGCCACACGGCACCATTTGAAGCTCCTCGTGTGCCTCGCTGTTGTGCAGTTGTGCACTGCGCAGCCATGCGCAGCCCGGCCAGCCTGACTGCGGCCAGGGCCCGCAAAGCCGAGAAACTCATCCTCGTGCTGAACCACCCCAAAGCAGACCTCTCAAGGATCGCAAGGGGGGCGTTTTCAGAGAGCGGTCACTCTGCCTCGTGGCAAAGCTGGCCGCGCAGCTCCACAGGCCTCAGCTGCCGGGGGTCTCAGTGTCGAGAGCACAATTGAATCGAGGTCGCGGCACTTGCCAGCGCAGTGTGACCTTCATCTGATAGTCTCCCAAGAACAGCTTCACCTAAGGTAGCAAAGGGTCGAGGACTCTGGCGACACAAAGTGGCGAAGAGTCGCATCAGGCCTGCGGGCGATGGAGTTGCCCGGTGCCCAGCAACGGCAGGAATGGATGAGGAGCAACCTTTGTAATTGGAAATGCAACGAAACAGGTACTTGATAATATAAGCAAAATGCGATTGTCGTACAAACTGCTTCCAGTTAGCGCATGCAAAAATTGCAGAGAAGGCCGACAGCATGGTCAGGTCCAGCTGGCTGAACCTCAGCCACGTCTGTGCAGGCAACTTGAAGCTGCGACTTTCCAACTACTTTGCGTTGCTGAGCCGTCTGGCTCTAGGCTCGGCTGCTGCTGCCCATCCGGAGACCAAAGCCGGCGATTCACGAACTTGGCCTCATGAGTCAGGAAAAACCACATATCTCTCGTCGCCTGTTTCTCCCTCCGTTCGGAAAGACCGCTGCCACGGCGAGTACGTTGCCCCCAGCCTGAGAAGCGGAGATCATTTCTGAGCGTCCCAAGCTCCACTCCCGGCCGCCCTTTGCAGGAAGGAGCCCTCAGCCTCTTCTGAGCTCCTCGCATCGAACAGCGGCACGGCGGCCAAGCATCGCAAGCCACCACCGACCTGACGGCTGAGCGGTGCGAGTGGCGGTCCGTGCCCGGTCCACGCGCGACGCAGACTGTCGACTCAGGCATATTCTGATGCATCTAGTGGTTTATTGATTGGTGTATCGCTTGCATACCATGCATACAACTCCACCACTTTACCAAAAACCCACTCAGTAACTGCTTATTTGCATACCCCCTACAGCGCTCCGGAATAACCGATCACCGCATCCATAATCCCACATGTGGCAGTACCACCCCAACTGGGCAAAGATTCGCTCATATAGAACACGTCTATATTGGCCCTATGGACGCTTTTCCGACACAGCTTAGCTTAGTAAGGTTCTTGTTTTCGTTGGTTTACCTATCCCAAGGAAGTGTCCTTTGCTTGAGACAGGACTGAAAGGAGCATTGCCCGAAACGTCACCGCGTTAGTCCTGCACATGAAACCCCGCTGCAATCTGTAAGGCAGGTGGTCGAGGAGAAAAGGGCGCCTGGTGAAGCTTGAGAGATGATGTAACGGCCATTAAATCTGCATCATCTCCGAGTAAACTCATACAATCAGGCTGCCAGTGCCGTTCTTGCACGTGTGCCAGTCCGGCTGTTGAATGAAACCTACTCGGCGAGGCTGTGCACACATGTGCTTGCCCACAGGACTGAAAGGAGCATTATGCCCGAAAAGTCACCGCGTTGATCCTTCACATAAAACCCCAACCCACCAATACTGTGTGTGCTGGCCATGGAACTAGCAATTGATGTGCACAAGGCCCAAGGATACGGTTGAGCACGAAGCTTGAAACATTCCCCATTTAAAACTCTTGCCCGTCAACACGAGGTGGTGTTGCCCAGAGGCGCTTCGGCGATCACAGCGTAGCATGCAGAGTTTCAAACTTTGATCTCTGAAGTCCCGCCAGGTTGAAGGCGGACCCGCAATGACCACGGAGCTCCCGGTATTCCAGTCCCAGCAAGGGTGCTTGCCCAGAACCCAAAACCGCCCAAGAACATACTGTCGAGGACGATGCTCTCGTCTGACACAACCACTTTCCGATCTTATGCATGCAGGCTTTGAGTAAGCAACCCACTTTGCCGTGAGATCCCGGCCCACCTCCTTAGCAGCCGCTAACAGTCAGGCCTTGAGTGGGCAGAGCTCGAGCCGCTCTTGTCGCTCGGCCTCGGTGATTAAGGGGAACAACAGAAGCACACGTCGATGGCAGATTTGTCTCGCTGCTCCCGCAGGCATGCTGGCAGCTACTCACCTCCGATGAATTGCAAACCAAAGTAAGTGGCACATCGTTTCAGACCAACATTTGCTCCAGATGCACGCAGGAGAGGACTCCTCCCGATTTCGCGTTTCCGGTGCATGTCCCCACTGAAGGCGCGCTGGCAACCATACAGTTGTTAGCCTTCGCAATGACGTCCGAAAATAACTTTGCGACCTTTGCCTGCCCTCTTCTGAAACTGCATGGCAGCTCGGGGGATGCTGAACGCAGTCTACAGCAACTACCACGTCATACTCGAGCCGGCCAAGCCAAACATCACCGCTTTCCTGACACAAGCCGCACAAAGACCAATCAAAGACTTGTCGAAGCAAAGTCAAACAGCATGAACTACACCGTTCTATAACGCCAACACACGTTCCCTGCCGGCCCGATTGCGCCTCTTCCAACCGCAGAAACAAAGCTAGGAAGGGCCCAACCTCGATACGCAACCAGAAAACGAAGCAGAAAAAATGAGAAAACTGAATCGATGAATTGCAAGTTGTGAGCAGTGTGCTTCAGGAAAAGAGCAGCATGTAAGCCAGTTTCTGTCAGAAACACGTGCAAAGCGGAATTTTTGGCGGTTTGCTTGTTAAAAAAAAAGCTCGCGCGCCCACGCCTGCCCACAGCTGAGCGGCGAAACAATGCATCGAAGAAAGCTGGAGCACGCAGCTTCATTGAACTACGATCCATGAAAGCAAGAACCTTCGAGGAAGGACGCCATGTCTATGCACATTCACGTGTTTCACGCAGCCACGTGCAAAAGCGGACTAGTTGGAAATCGCTCAGGGCATGGGGGGGCGAGGGACAAGTCAGAGGAACGGTCATACAAGAAGCGAAAATAAAACGAGCCAGCAAACAACTGAGCTCGCGTCGCCACGTTCGCGACACACCGGTCTTTGCCAGTGAGCCACATATGACGCCGTTGAGTGCGAGCACACATGCCCTTGCAGCCAATTCACAGACGACCACACCGCTCAACATAACTTGTAGAAAGATTACCTGCCAAGAAACCAAACCGTTTATGCCAAGGAGTGACAGGAATCGGTCATCATTTCGGGCATGAGCCATGCACTGCTGGAAGCAGGATGCTTCAAATATCCAGGGTAGCTTGTGATGGCCGAACCAACAAGTTATTTTCAACGAAGATTTGATGCAAGCGTTACCAAGACTGACCTTTTCTGCACCAGAAAGCTGATAGCAAAACAGCCCTTATGGAAATAGCTGAGCGCGAACTACTCTCGTCGAGTCACGAGTCAAGAGCTCACGAAGAGGATATAGCACATGGCAGCATCGCGGCCAAGATAAGCGACCTGTTTAATCAATATCTGTTCCTCCCGAATCTTCATGAGGACTCTAGCAGGCTCTAGCACCAAGGAGATCGCACGATGCGCCGCCGCGTGAAACTACAGATCTCCATGCTCCCCAAGTCTTTCTCACCTCGTCGCTCATCAGGATCAGGGGTTGCCCCTGTAGCTTATGTGTCGAACCAATGGAGACCGTCCAGACCATTCATGGAGGCCGTAGGAGTGGGCTCGACAAGAGACCGCCGCCTAGTCGCCAAATCGACGACATTTTCGACCTTTATCAGCTCGGCCGTGGCCCACGTGCGACCACGCAGCACAAGGTCCGACCTCCGATCTGAGCAGCCGAGATGCTTGGCGGCTACCTATACGAACTCCTAGCATTTTTCACATGAGCTGTTGAAGAAAAAAGGAGTTGATTGGATTTGTTTCTGAGGAAGATCCAAAACGGGCGCCAAGCCCCAAGAGCAAGCACTTCGCCATCACCCAACTGCTGGATGCCCATGAAGATCTTTTTCTTGATCGAAGTCTATGTCTATGTCCTTGATTCAGCCGGGGTAACCCCTCTATCGGAGAAATCCTCCTTGAGCACATCCGGTCATGCCCTCGTTCTTCCACAGCGGAGCCACTCGTGGTGCATGGGCTGGTAGTCTGCTCACAGTGACCAGCAGTCTGAGTCGCAGCGATCAAGTACCACACCAGATGACTGCACCGCCAGCTCGATGAATCGCCAATCTGGGGACAGCCGGTTTCAAACGACGTCACACGAGCACACCTCTGAAATAGTCAAACTCGGCGCGCTGCGTTCAGGGAACCCCTGCAATCAATGCGACACATGTCCTATACGAACTCATGTGTTTGATGCTGCCATGTGCATATGCAGTGGGCCGACATTGCCCAAGAGAGGAGATGCCTCCAGTTTGCGCGCCTTCACGTCCTGCAACCTCTGTGAACTCCACTAATCCTTGACTGGTTCCACATCTGTCGCCAAGCGCAGTCGAGGCACACTCCCATGGCTAGGGGGAACTGCCATCGCCTCCTGAATCGGCAGCTCGGCCACCATGATAAGAATCGAACACTCCTAAGAGCAGCACTGAAAACTGCGCTCCACGCTTTTCCTATGACTGCTGGTGTGGTGCGCGTGCTTTGAGCCTGCATGACGACAAGTCACGTTCCGGGCTCAAGTGGTGCATAAGCGCATTACATACTGCATAACTTCCTGTAGTGGACTAAAATCTACGAGAGAACCATTGCCGATTCTAGGATGATAATTTATGATAATACTACCTTTGGGAATGTGGATGCGGTACTGGGCCCTTCTGGGAATAATCGATTAGTGAGTGGGTCTGTGGTAGACTCCTATGATAAGCGGGCAAAGGTTCCGCTCAAATTACACATGTCTGTCAATGCTCAGCTCCAGGCATTGCAGGCACGGCAGGTGGCGCGGCCCGCGCTCGGCGAGTCACAGTGGGACTGCACGACCTGGCATACGGAAGGACGGAACGACAAAAGGAAGGTCCTGGCACTGCCTGGCACGCGGGCCTCGTAGCGATCCCAGTTGCGTCTTACGGCCTCGTGGGAAGGAATCACCTCGACAGCTCACGCCTCTCGAGCTGTTACTGTTAGCGCCCAGCAGCCCAGCACCTGGATGCGCTGCGTCAGGGCGGCGTGGCCTTCGATGCGCTCTGGCGGCCAGCGATCGACGGTCGTCACGGCGATGACCCGCCTTCGCGCCTGTGCGAACCCATTTTTGTACCTCCCTTCCCCTCAAGACTCAAGACTCAACACAAAACGTTGCGAAGTTGCGTCGCCTCGCCTCGCGGTCATGTGCACCCAAAGAAGAGACTTGGGGGGGAGCGATACAGCGCACAACAATCTTCACCTCTTCACACGGGACGAGGTTTCGCAGAGGCTCAAGCAAGAACGACCACATGTCGATGTTGGTGCGGTGCTCGTAGAGCCGCAAGACTGCCAGCATCAGCGCGCTCAGTGAGGGTGACGGCGAGGGAGGGCTCCTTTCCGAGCAGAGGGCCGTGGCCCCGCCAGCGCCCGCGGTAGCCTCTGAAAAGGCTCGGTGCCGTCGCCGAGCAGAGGGCGCGCTGGGGCCACTGGGGCCGGGTCTGATTGGGGCATTGGGAGCAGCAGCGGGAGCGGCACGAGACCGACCGTACGATGGCCCCGCTGAGCATGGGCGCTGAGCCGCTCGCATGCCGCCCTGGCCGCCCTGGCCGCCGTGGCCGCCCTCCGCGCATGCGCCGTCGGAGAAGCGGGTCGGCCCAGAGGGTGGACAGACCCGTAGCCGGCCGCTTTCCATCTGTATCCATCAAGATGGTTGAGTTTGGACACTTGATTCCAAGGCTTCTGCTGGCTTTAGAGTGAGGTAGTGTGCCTGTATTATGCCTGTGATCGGACGGCCTCCACACCCTCGTGACATGGTCAGCCAGAAAAAACTGCGATCTGCCCGTCATATAACGACATCCTTACCTGGAGCACAGAGGACACTGCGGAGACGCTTCTTTTGCGACTCCGCCCTCCGGCCCCCTCCGGCCCTCTGAGATCAGGATCTTGCGGCTCCGGCCACTCCTGCTAAGCGCTCGTCCCTCGGAATCGCGGCCAGGCGCACCTTGCACTACAAGGCCGTAAGGAGGTAATTAAGGCCATCTACGAGGCGAACGATACAACACAAATGGAATACGAGGCGGGAAGGCATGTTGAGCTTCTGGGATACTATCTAACGCAGTGTTGTACGTACGTTGGTTGCTCTTCATGTGCTCATGACACTTCGCCGAGAGCACCTTTGCAATGCTCCAGCTGATCTGTTCGCATCTTTTCTGCAGCTTGCAAGACCAACCGTACGACAGGGTTCCCTTTGAGGCCCCCTCTCAGACCTGCTGCGGTAATTTGTGCAATGGAGTCTCGAGGCACGACGGTGGCGCTGCAAAGTGCATAAAAAAAGCTTCTGAATTCGCTCACACTTTCACGCAGGCACGCTCGCACCAGGCTTTGACTACACGCATCCGAGGCAGACACAAGGGTTTCCGTTGCCAGCAGAGCTGCTGCGACAATGGCTCCCAGTGCAGAGGCTGGCAAAAGGATATGGAAGAACTGAACACATCTGTTCGGTGCAGGAGCCCTCCATTGCTTAAATTCCACCTGCTGTAACAAAGTCGAGGAACTGTCCTTGACCTGCAAGCCACTGCATGCAACATAGATGCACGGCACAAGCTGCCGTCACAAGTGTCACAAGCTCGAGGCCGTTGCGGTTGACACCAAAGGTTGGCACTTCTCTTCGGCACTTGCCCTGGAGGTCCGCTGCAACCACTCTGATGACTCTGAGGGGTAGTTGATAGAATAAGCCCCCCCACATTTTCTGTGTCACCTTTCCTTTGCCAGAGTGAACGAGGATGTTGACTGGATGAACAGCATTAAGTCTTGTCTGAATCTTTGTTGTGCAGCGTTCCAAGGATGACGGATGCAAGCTCAAGAGGCAGATGATGCAAGCAGGGTCAGGTCTGCCGTCACCCAGCATCATGAGCATCAGAACCCGCTTCACTTCTGCAAGTGGCCTGCCTCCGTTCCACCAAGGTTCCAGAAGGGTCTCCCAAATCCAGACGCCCTCTGTTGTTGAGCCGGCAGGAGCCCAAAAAGACGATGTATGCTGATAGGATAATAATGATATGTAGGCCATGTAGGCGGGGTGGGTGGGGGGGAGGGGGTGGTTGAACAAGCCGCACCCTGACTTATCCATTACAGACTTGGCACCAATAGCAACCAGACCAGAACAACTTCAACTCAGAAGGAAGCAAATCTTGGGAGTTGCGAGGCTTCTGAAAGATGATTGGCTCAAGGGTCAACACTCCGATGTGTCATGCCAACCGGCGGTCTCAGTCCTTTGGGAGGAGGACAAGGAATAGTGCCCTTAGATCTGAAAGGAGCGGGAAGTGCGTGTCGTGACCAGACGAAACTACACACACACACACACACACCAAGAAACTCTTCAGGGAACCGCCAGGCAGAGGCGGCAACATGATCAACTTTCTTGGATTGCGTGGGGCCTAGAGGCCTCAGTGCCTCAGCCGAGAGTCAAGGCCAGGTTCGCAAGGAGCACAGCGCAGAAGCCACCCGGGCGACAGGACCTGACAACGTCTTGGTGCTTCCTTTGTTCAAGCAAACTCACTGACCACCACGCCACAGCCTCACGGCGCAGGACACTGCGGCCTCGTCACAAAATGCCAGAATGAACATCACTGACACTGACACTGTCTGACACGCTTCTGCGACTGAGGCAGACGCAAAAAAGAGTACACTTACTATGGCCGTCAGGCCGATGGTGAAGAGCCCTGCGCCTGTCAGCTGGGGCACTCGCCCTTTCTGGGGGCCCCCCGGCCCCCCGGCCCGGCCTATCCCAAAGACTCTCACTTCCTCGATGGCGCTCGCGCCAGTTGGACATTCCATCAGACAGACCTGAGTCTGAGTCTACCTGGCATTCGAATTGCAGCCGCAGCAAGTCGCCCTAGGCTACAAGACGAGCCTAAAGCTGGGAAGGGAACGCATGCACAGCTTCTGAGATTATACTGATTATACCTGCTCCCTCTGGTCCAAGGGCGACATGATTAGCTGCATGGGCTTAGGGGCCCTTAACAAACAAAAATAAGAATCCCTATATTACCCTTATAAGGAAGAATATCTTATTTCTTGGGTGGTTCTTAAGCAAATCATAGTCCCATGATGAGGCCAGCATACTTGTCTTCTTTGCAATCCGAGCGAACCCAGGGCTCCTGAAACAGGTTTCTTTCATTGACGTCTGCTCTGTAAAGCTAGCTCAACGACAGTCATGGTGAGTAGTACTATAGGTTATATGTCTATGTTATTCTCATGCAGCGAGGAATGATAGGTTAAGGTATATGTCTACAGTTCAGAGAGCGATCCAGTCCCTGGCCCCTGCCGCATCCAAGCCGCTTAGGCGCGCACCTCCGCATGTGCGCTCAGCGGGAACAGGGAACGGACGGGAACGGAGCTGAGAGCAGAAAGCTGAGAGCCGAAAGGAGAAACGGTGCATGGCAGGCATGGCATGGGCCTTGCCGGCCTCCTGCTGCGGCCTGTGTTCTCACTGATACGATCAGTCGGAAATCTCAGCTCCGTTTGGAGAGAGAAGCGCTCTCTCAGACTTTGCTGGGCTCGGAGAGGCTCTTCCCATCCTTCTTGCCCTCTTTGCCGAGCTCGACGAGGAATGCACCGGAGAGCACGACTCCGGAGCCCAGAAGGACCGTCATGGAGACCTTCTCGTTCAAGTAACCCACCGAAATGGCCCCAACCATCAAGGTGTTTAGCTTGCCCAAGATCTGCTGGGAGCTGGCACCGAGCTCCTTGAGCACGAAGACCCCAAGAAAGTTTAGAGCGACAGCACTGACACAGGTGACAGAGATTAGCACTGCAGAATCCCATGTAAGCTCTGCGAAGGCCTCTTGGAAGCTGTCTGTGCAAACTGCGAAAACGAAGGCCGTAAGCACACACCAGGGTGCTTGCAAACAATAGAGTTGCATGGGGCTCATGGGGCTCACCTTCAGCGGGCTCAGTTCGGACGCATACTCCATCGGTGCAAGGAGAAAGTCCATGACCACGATTTTCAGAGAGCGAGTGCCCACAGAGGCCAATGCAAAAAGGATGCCAATGAGAGTTCTCTCAGGCGCGCTCTGTGCTCCGATGGACTTCACTTCGCCGGCTGCAATCAGCAAAGCCCCGCAGCAGGCCACCGAAACCCCGAACCAGGACATCAAGCTGAGCTTCCGGCCAACCACATACGAAAGCACAGCCACGCTGACCTCAGTGTGGAACATCAGAGCAAAAACACTTGAATCAACTGTCAAGATAACAAATTAGCCAAATGGCAGGGGAGAGAGTCCCTAGGATTGCACAGACGCCGGCCCCGGCGTAGACGAGGGCGGTGTTGTTGAAAACGACAGTCAAGGGGTTGCTTAAAGCGATGGGAAGAATATTCCGGACAAACCACTCGTTCGTCCTCGCTTCGCAAGTGTTGGCCTTCGTCCCAAAGCCAGTCCGGTATACACAACAGATGACCCACACGCAGAGAAAATGAAGCGTAGTGACAGCTCCTGGACATGAGCGGTCAAAAGGTCGGCTTTCACATCACACCATCACCCAACTCACCGGCCTGGATGCTTGTAGAAAGAACTCAATCTGCTCATTAAGATCTGAGTGAACACCAAGCTGGCCACGAACAAACCTTAGAAGGCACTTGAACGTCGACTTGAGAGCAGAGCGGACACTAGTGCCGGGGTGGCGATATGGTAGTTGTGCATGTTGTGCATTCCAAATGCGAGCGGACGTCGGTAAGTGAATGAGTGCTCCTTGTATGGTGTGTTGCGAACTGGCTCATAAAAACCGAAGCTTGCCCTCGGCTGTCCCGTTTCCTTTAACGCTTTGGTTCTTCTGTTGATATTTATTTCGCACATTTTCCCCTCCCCTCCCCTCCCCTCCCCTC